AAGCAACTGAAGCTAGGTCCGTGTAAAATGCTTTCAACACCCCTTTTCCCTGGTTGGAATGCGGCCGAAGTAGGGGATGTTGTTGTTCGGGGTTTAATCGAAGGTCTCTTTTGCTTTCTTCTTCCTTATCCGGATCACTCTTCACGTCCAGACTCATTACTGAACGTCTAACATATCCATTTCATCCCGAAGTTTGCCTTTAATTTCGCCATCTTATATTTGCCGTGAACAGCGACAACTTGTTACAAGCAGTGTTCCCAAATTAGTCGTTGATTTTTCTGACTTATTCGACATATTGTCAGATCTCAAGGGTTTGGAACTCGATCGATTGTGGATTATGGTTGTAGATCGTGAGGCAAAGTTTTGTCATCTCTTGCAGTGAATGCATTGCATTTCATCGCAGGATCGAATATAGTAGCATGATAGGCCTTACAACCCGCTAACTCACGCCGGAAGTATGAGGTTATGAGGAGCAGAGCAGGGTTGAGGAGTCTAAAGGAGCGAATGGAATAATCCACTTGTTCATTGTTCACCTGAATAGCCATGGCTCTTTGGTTTCGAAGCCGTAGCACTACGTCGTCCACGTCAACCATTGGTCCACAAGATCTGGCTGCTGTGTCGTCTAATTTTTTTAGAGATATATCCAGAGCAATAATCGTCGCACTTCTTGTCGTGCCTGCGAGGCAGTGAATGACGATTGGGCTACTGAAATTCGTCAGTTTGACCTATTGTTTCCTAGAAAAAAGAAACACTTGCTCTTCACCTCTCATTTTGCTTCAACCATTGTGCAGCTACGGCTTCCTTGATGAGTAGTTCTCGGTTGAAATTAAGGTCGCTGATGAAGCTCAGTATTTCTGTCGGTTTCTTAGGTGTTGCCCTGTGTCCCCACGCGAAATAGCAAAGGTGCAGCAGTCGCCGTTCTGATCCTTCGCAGCTTGCCTGTAAATAAATTCCTTCACATAAAATAGTGGCGTATAGGTGAACGTGAGAGGTCACCGCGTTGCAGTACCAATTGATGAGTTTCTTCTCAAGTATCATTGTTAAATGTTGAGGTGGATTTCACGTGAGGAGTTCATATAACGTGATTTTGGGAGTCGCAGGGCCAGGTCTATCAAAGGTGTCCTTGTCGTCATTGAGCCCAACACTCAGCATTCCCTCCTCCTAGTCCCCTCCCCCTTCGTTTCTCCTCCCCCAGATCTCCTTTTTGTGCGTGAATCCCCTCCACCTCGACCTCACAAGTGGAAGTGCGCACAGCGAAAGAAGGAGAAGGCATTAAGCTTACCCGAGAGGTAAGTCCTACCGGACGCCGGGGGCAAAACTGGTTGCAAAGCAGCGTTTAATTTGTTGTAATGCGCTGTCGTTTCAATGTGAAGAACACCTAGTGTACGGAACACTTCAAAACTTTGAAAAAAGGGCCTTCTTTCTGTATTTTTACATCCATATTTGTAATTACCTTTATCATGGTAGCGTCGTATGACTCTCTGATTCTTCGAGTACCGCAGTGCTGCAGAGTAATTTTGTCATGAGTGGCAGTTTCACCTGACTTTGGAATATATGAGCCACACC